CAACAACCTGCCGAAAATACCAGCTTAGTTAAACTTGGAAACGGGATTGCAAACGAACGAAAAACGTGTTGCCCAAGCTGAAAGAACATTGTACATATCTGACCTGTAGATATTGTTATAATGTTGAATTGTTGTAGTGAGTCCAATGTGCAGCGCGCTGTGAGTGATGTGAAACATTTCCGTCATCAGCTTGAACTGACCTACAAACAGAAGTTTACACTGATCATGAATTACACGGTATTACTGTAACATGTGACATACAACAGCAACTAGGTGAAGTTAGAGTCGTCTTTTTTGATTTCGTCTTTGGTTATAGCCAAAAAACAAACGTGCATGCACTATCCCTCCAAAGGGCATTATAAGCACACACTGATTATGTCACGTTTGAACAAGCTAAATACTACTGAAACTAACCATGTGTCACCGAACCAATCATGCATACACTTGCCCTCCTCGCCAATAACCACTTTTTAGCGAATAAGTAAAGGTAATGTTATGAATGCCAGTGCAATTTGAAAAAAAAAACAGTCCCGTCCTTAATTCATACAATTACTCAATACATTTGTTATATGACTGAGACCATTGCGAACGCACCTGCGTAAAATTTGCACTGCAGTGCAAATTAAATCTTAACGGTAAACTAAATCACCAGAACTAACATAGAGCGATAATTATGACCAAACGTAAGGAGAATCAATAATTGATCACCTTTTAATTCTCCTGATGGGAACAACAACGTACGCAGATCTGTCTTCTCCTCGTTCTCCATCCCTGCACACAAACAAGTAAAATAAAGGCAAGTTTACAGCATGAGAACACAAATATATGAGGATTACAACACGGCGACTTTACCTATTCGAAACCCTTGAATAGCTCAAACTGGAACTTCTACGAACAAGCCTGAGATTTGCATTTTCTTACAAATCATTCTAAATGGTTCTCATCTACCTGCTCTTAATAAATCAATTCAAAATCACAATTGTTGTCAGCCAATGCAATACTCGACCAAAAACGGAAATGAAAACACCCCCTACTGTTAGTAAGTAATTCAGAATATTTTCACTTACCAATATGCCCGCCACCCAGCGTCCGTTCATTATCAAACCTCAAGCGACAGCCTTTTGCCGTGCAGTATCGCGCTTCTATCTGTTTGTACTTTTCTTTTCCTTTCGACAGTAGGAATGATTCACATAGCTGTAGAGCTACTGTGCACAGATTTACCATATAACCTGAAAAGTAAAGGGTAAGTTACACGCCGCCTGAAAATTGGTACTAAAGAATTGCTTCCTGATACCTTAACGTTCTACAGCAATCCCTCCATAATCCTTTCTCCTTTCCAACAAACCAGCTCTAGTCAAACTCCGCTAGCGGACACCTCCCATAAGCCGACACTCTAGTCATGGATCCAGCTACTTAGAAACACCACATATTGAACCTAACACTCCTAAGCAGACACTTTTTCTGGTTCCAAGTGTGTCCACTTGCGGGAGGTGGAATCTATCTATCTGTATCTGCCTGCCTGCCTGTCTCCCCGTTAGCCTGTGTAGATGACTTTCATGGCCCGGAAAGAGCGGCGAGGGCGAAGCCGCGAGAAGAATGGTGAAATGAGAAAGAGCGAGAAAGGTTTCCCCCTCTTTCTCTTCTCACCATTTCGGTAACATTTCGAGTTTTGCCACTATTTCCACGCCACGAAAGTCCACGGAAAAACCCCACCGAAACCGCCAGCTACAGGCTAACTGCCTGCCGTCCGTCCCTAGTATGTCTATCTATTAATCTATCTGAATCTATCTCAGTATACTCCACCCTTCTCAGTTTCTCGATCTTCTGCCCTGCCTTCATGGCCCAGCTTTTTCCACTGGCACTAATTCTCTCAGTCTTCCCAGCTTCCTCGTAATACACTCAGACCTCCCGTGCTACTTCTTACTGTAAAGCACACCACAAGTCCCCCACCCAAAACTACAACCTTGCCGTCGTAACTTAATACCCCAGACAGACGGACGGAAGGACACACTCACCACAAATGCACTAATGGACGGACCTGTACCAGTTCCCCTTTTTTAACTCCAATTGATTTTCAAATGTCTAATTGTGATAATCTTGTTATCATACCATCACTGGCCACTGTTGCTCCAAAATTATCCCTGGGCAAATTTGCTGACAACCTGAGGTCATTTAGAGACACAACACCGGCTAACCATGCTAGTGCACTAGAAAAGAAACCAAAATAAACTGTGGTTGAAGCTAAACGTGTCAAGAAATACATTCGAGACCTTCACGTGAAACTGTAGATCTTTTCTGTCCTGATCACCGGGTGGAATAACTAAACTTATTACGGTGGCTGCCAACAATTTTCGAAAACTTAAAGTGACTCTGAAATCCCTCTGTATAATTTGTTTTTCAACTTAGCAGAGTTACATCTAAAAGGATAAAGATTGCCATTATTGGTTCACCAAAGGCGGCGCATTTATGTGATACCAATATTGTAGCATCACCTTGATAAACAGTGATAGTATTGATCTGTGAAATAACAGCTGTTGGGAAAGAGCTGGAAACTTTTGCTAGTCACCTTAGGACGCTTTCGCAAGTTAGTAACATGCATTTGGCGTGCGTATTACTGAACACTGTTACTTTTAACATATTTCAAGATCAATTTATGGTCCTGGTTTTACAAAACCGGGTGGCTAAACTGCAACAAAAGAGTATCACACAAAATGGCAGGCATGCTTTGCGAGGATTTTATAATCATGTGCATGATGCCAACAAAAAAAAAGACAAAACAAAGAAAGGGCATCAAAATGTTCCTTTTTACTTTTACCCAAATATTGCAGGGAACCCTCTAACAAGAAAAATCTGTAATATCCATCTCATTCACAGAGTTCTGCAGCTTGAGTCCCAGGAAGCTTGGTTACAAAGGGCCTTTGTATCAACATTGTGCCTTACCTGTCTTTGGCATTAGATTTCAACACTTTTACCAGCGCCTTGTAAACAACATTTTGACAGCCATGAATGCCATCCATGATTTGAGACTAAAGAGTTTAAAGGGAAAAACACCTCATTAATTTCTCGTGCAACAGCACTAATTAGAGTTAGCCAATGAAGAGCAAATTAACCCCTTCAAAGTAACTGAAGATTTCATATAAAACGCTGTGAAGTGTCCTGCATCAATATCGGATGGGAAACGGCTTTGCATCATCGACGCACTACCCTATACCACCCTCCACCCTCAAGATTATAACATGTTTATTACTTCTGTCAGTCAAATTGAATCGAAGTAAACAGTTTTTGCTCTTTATTTGACAATCCATGGTCAGGCTAATTTTTGTGTTTCATGTGAGTAACAAAGTCACAAGTGATGATGAGCTCTTGGCAAGAATCGCTATGTTGGCTTGTTCCATAAGCTCACTCATACCTCATTGCTTTGCTGCTCATACCAAGCCTAAACAGGAAAGCCTGCTAACAGACTAATGAGATAGGTAAGAGGCTACTCTGAGACTAACGAACCTCGCCCACTGACAGATTTTACAACTTGGGTGCACCTATGGGTAACAACCATAACATCAAGTGACAACCAAAATAGAAGACTAAGAGTACCTGAAGTTGATCAGCATCACTCCGAAATGGCTGAGGGAAGTGAGGCAGCTCAAGAAAACAAGCAACAGCACGTGACTTCTTGTCTCTTTTTAAGTCCATTGTAGAAGTCACCAGGAATGAAGAGAATATTGACTTGTCTTGGAAATAAACACCCTATGAAATAGGATAAGTTCATCAGTTAATGTAAAGTCTGATGCAATGGCAAGTGAATAGAACTACAGACTCGCTTCTCCATGAAAATATTTTTATTTACCAGTTCTTTCATTCCACTGTCCAATTCTCGTTCAAGGGTTTCAGCCAGAAATTCTGCCATGGTGGGCTAAAACAAAAGAAGTGAAAATAATATTTGTGAATTAATACTGACTGAGAGGGAGGGCTGGAAAGGAAAATATTTGGCTGATCAAGGCATAACCAATTTACTTATTGCTAGCCCAGCAAGGTCCGTGCATTATAACTGAGGGCAAAATATTTTCCTGTCTAGCCCAGCCTAAAGGCCAATATTTAACGTCAATTCTTAATGCAACAATTTTGCATTAAAAATCAATACCATGAAACGTGGTGCACAGGGTGACTTTTAACGCAACATTTTGTTGTGGCAATATGTTGCAGGTTTTCGAAAAAGACTCAAAAACTGGTAACATCGTTACCTGAATTTACAACATTGCATTAAAATTTGTCTCCTGTAACATACCAGTGCCAACTGTTGCTGCAACAAAGTTGCATTAAAAATCGTCTCTGTAACATTAACTCAGTCAATATATATTTTACCAAACTGGTCACCTTTATTGATATTTATTTTGATGGAAAGCTGTCACCTTCAGCGTTCTTTACTGTGAGCAGTTAATGTGCTGTTGACATTTGTTGGGCCAGATAGCTTTTTATGGACTCGTGTCAACCCGTGCAGTGTTAAATATGTCAGCTAAATAGCATGTATGCAATACCTGGGAAAGAAGGGTTTCCAACCCTCTGAAAATACACTTGCACTCCAGTGTAATCTCGTTTAACCTACAGGAAGGATCATTAAACAAGAACTACAATAAGATTGTTAATGAATTACTGAACGATAAAATTACCACATGTGTTATGATACATGTACATAGTTTGTGCTGATTGGCTGTCGCCAGCATGTTTTATCTCATTGTAACGTTTTTAAACCTGTCCAACACTGAGTAATATCTGAATATTTTCTTTTCCACATGCATGTCAGTTCTTGTCAACTACCTCTTGACTCGCACAACTTGTCTTCCTCCAATAGTTACCTACGGATATTGAAACAAACACCCATTAGATGGATACAGTTGGGAATTTAGTGTGATTTCAGTTACGAAAAATTCTTTAATAATAATTATGTTATGAGAAACATAATAACAGTGAAGTATAAATTTACTTCCATACCATTTCAACGAAAGTGTCTTTTACTTCTGAATCCTGTTTGCCTTTTTCTAGCAGTCTAGCAAGAAGATCTCCACTCACTGTCACACCATCACATGACCAGCCTCCCACACTTGCCAGAAAAAACTGAGATGGGCCCTAACAACAGCATTGGATCAAAACATCTTGGCGTTTACACTTAAGGATGCATTGGTTGGATGGTCAATACAAAAGACTCTTCATCAAGCAGTCAAATGCAAAAACCAATAAACCCGGGGGGGTACTCCCGTATATGAGCTATATACACTGTAGGTGTGTACAGCCCCAAAGGGTATGGTTTTTCAGCTGTTTTGGTCATAAATGGGGTATCAATTTTGGCCATTTTGTCAAAAATAGGGTATGGTTTTTGCACTCTAGACTTGAATAAGTAACTAATGTTTTTTTAAAAGAAGCTCAATGTAGACAGTACTTTTTCATCATTATTGATAAGACCATCAACAAAAGCCCTTCACAAATTATGTTTAGGGCAACTGTGCCAACCGCAATGGTGATAAACAGGGTATTGAATGTTTGGTCAGGTCATAAACAGGGTAGGGAAAATCACAGATTTTGGTCATAAATAGGGTAAGGGTTTTGGAAACCCCCACACAACTTTTCTGGGAGTACTCCCCTGGGCAATAAACCAAATCATACTGCCAAATTGACATAAACTGTGTGCTGAAGACTTTAACAAGAAACTAAAGAGGAGAAAAATACACAAAAATATCTGCACATACTTCAGACTGGCCAGACTGGACAAAATCGGACCACAGGTCATCTTCAACTCCAGTGGGACTTGCCGCAGCTGCAAACAAACACACAAACACATGTATTGTGATGCATTGTTAAGGGGCACTGAAAAATCTACTAAGAGAAGCTTCACATGTGAGGATTAATTTACTTGAATGTACATGATTGCATGTTCATGAGCACAGATCTAGAGTGAACCTAGATACAGAATGTATGTCTACCCATATCAGTAGACATAAGAAATGATCACCAGATGATAGAAACTAGTCAAGAATAACTATTCATTTATCCCTTTGAACTTTGCTTCAAGTGAAATGAGAGATGATTGAACACTCTCTCAGCAGCATGTGTAAGAGGTAGTACATGATAGATAGATAGATAGATTTTTATTAGCAAACTCATTGCAGCCGCTGGAGCGGCTGAACTACGAATTACTTTACAATAAAAAAAGAATTATATTATACAAGGAAAAATATGCAAACTATTTATAATTAAAAATACGGCTCATAATAAAAGTGTTCCTAAACCTAAGTGTCTTACAAATCGGTAGCTCAAAGTATCCCCGGGTTTGTATGCAGTAAGTGGACTTGTTACGTGACGGCAGCAGATCATGTAGTTTATGGCATGGGTCTCTCATAATTTGATCAAATAAAGTTTCACTCAGTGCCTGTCTCCTCTCATACAGTGAAGAGATGCCTGCAGCTACTAGAGCCACAGCATGAGATAGGTCAGGATATATTATCCGCAGTACGCGCTTTTGCAGTCTTTCTATGTTATTAGATAGGTACTGCGGCAACGCATGATGGAAAACTGAGCACGCATACTCTAGGACAGGACGGATGCATGTTGTATAGAACAGTAACATATCCTTCGGGTTGACCTTCGCATGTTTCACCTGCTTTAGGAAATACAGGCGTGCTGCGGTCTGTACACTACATTCTTGATTTAATATAAGGAAAACTACATGTAAAGTGCAAAGCAACACCTGGCACTTATCACTGCCTTAAAGTGCAGCACTCTACTATTTCTCTACTATTACTCACAATTTCTTGTTGAATATAAATACTGTACATGACTAGAGGTAAAAAGGTCACAAAAGAATTAAGGAGAAAAGCAGCTGATTAACTAGCTAGATGACAACTCACCATGTACAAGATGCTTAAGAACTGTAGTTACACATGACTCCATTACAGCTGATGTCACTTCTTTCCAAATCTTCCCTCCATCTCGAATTGTATTGAACTTCTTTCCTGGCAGCTGGGAGCACCGGTCAAAGCACAGAATTGCAAACTTCAAGGGATCCTATCATCAAAATTAACCAATTGAACAAACACATTCATTGTCCTTGACTTCTTATTTGTTCAATCATGCTTCCTTTAACCTTTTCTACTCTAATTCCTCCTTTTCACTTAGCATCCAATTGCAGCCTTCCTTCCTTCCTCTCCTCTCTATTTCTCCTCTCTCTTCCCACTTCCTTCCTTCACTCTTCCTTGCTCCTTCTTTTCCTTCCTTGGTTCCATTCATTCCCCTCTCTACTTTCCAGTTCAACTTGCTAACTGTCAATCTAATATACTGTATTCCTCTTTTAAATGTACATCCACCTTTCAACTCCACTGAGGTTTACAAATTTCACAAGGTGATAGATTTTGTTAAATACTTAATATTAATTCTTACCACTTCTCCATAGATCCTTTTAGCCATGAGTTTTTCCAGTTTCTAAGTAAACAAAAATAACTATTAATCAATCATTAATGATTAACAACAATTAGTTAATAACATTAATTACTACCATTTAATGGTGACTAATGATAAATATTTCTAAAATAGTGGTTTCAATCACTGTTAGTAGTTGTAGCTAGTTTTTACCTTGCTTAGGTCCTCACTGTTGACTGGTAATTCAGGTGCCTCAATTTGTAAAACTGCTTGTCCTTTATCATTTCCAACCTAAACAAATTTAGTCTGCTTCAGCTTATACTACAAGGCTAAACCATACATTTTCACTCATGAATATACTTTTGAACTACCCCTGTCCAATCTGCTCACATTAATTTTATTAACTAATGCCACTATTTAAGAACACATTAAACAATAAATTTATTCATTATGCATTAATAAAACACTATGGCATAAATGTGCCATTCCAGAAAACGTCCATAACTACCTAGGAAGATCATTGAAAATTCCAAAGGCAAGGGGTTTGTAAATGCCAAAATTATGAAATAAAGGTATGAGCTTAAATTGGAATTTCCAGAGCAGTGGGGGAGGGGATTTTCAAACCCAAAAATATTTCTGTTAAGAACGTTCTCAGGGTTGGGAAGATTCTGTTGGGGGAAGGAATATTTTCTAGAACAAGACATTGTGAAGGTACTGCTGCAGTACTATAATATAACGGACTTCACAAGACATTTGTTATATGATAAAAGAAACCACAAAGTCTTAGCACAGTCACATGGCTAAGGATCAAGAAGAGTACATTTTTAATAGTGCCTCTCTCTTCACTCACATGTATAAATCATGACTACTGCAGATGTTTTTGAAAAAAACCTGGCAATATTGCTGAGGGGACTAAACTTGGAAATTCTGGACTAATTTCTCAATGGGGATCAACTACAATGTAACAACACTCCCATTTCAGATTTACTTCAAGCTATGAAACAGCAGTATGATAACTTTCACACCTTTGGTAGTCGAAGACCTCCCTTCTTCTCAGAAACTTGAATTTCCTACAATGTGAATAATAACAAGTAGAGATGCAGATCTATACAGATACAGGCCCTATCTCCCAGTCCTCCCACAGGTATTCTGCTATACATGTATGTATATAGATTACATGCATGTAGATTGAAAGTTTTGTTTTGAATCATATTTCAAAGGGAAAATTCCAGAGAATGAACTTCTAAAAATATTATTACAAACTTATTAACTTACAATAGAGCATTCCAAAACCTGCATCAACACCATCTTTACCACTTCTTCATAGGGAAGGTCCTGAAAGCAAAATAATGTATAGTCCAAGTCTCAAATGCAATGACAGCATCAAAAATGCTTGCTTCCATTCAAGGGTCTCTAAGGAACTCTGTGGCTCATGGGTAGCCTTTGAGTTTCTACAATGGCCTATAAAGCTTTCTTAATGCTATTTAAAAAGGAAATAGTTCATGCGGCCTGACTGCATTGCTGAGTTATACAAACAAGTAGGAATCTTTCAGAACAAGAGAAGTGCTTACAGAAGTATGTGGTGGTGCTTCTCACACTTGCCTACTTCATCTAAAATTTCATAAACCTCAGAGAAATTAGAGTCAGGGAAAAGAAAAGAAAGGTAGTCCAACTAAACTACTTGGAAATGCCATTTTATTTTTATTTCAAGTTCATCCTTGCAATTGCAATACATCGGGCTGAATTTATATTTTGCATCGTAGTCACCCGTCAGGCAATTCAGCCCCAATTTTTTAGTCATCCAGCTACGTTTTAAGTTGCCACTGGCAACCTGGCGCCCACTAAGTTTCAGCCCTGCTTTAAGTAAGCCATACTGTTTTTAAGTCTTACAAGGATCTGTCCTAACCTGTAACTTTTCCTGCTTTGCAACTAAAAAAAAATAACAAAATTATACATATTAAATAGATATTTTAAGTCAGATGGATTGAATACGTACAGCAGAAAATTATGAATTTTAGGTCAATAACTGTTTAACTATTTTGTTTTGTAGATTGAACTTATAATCATTATTTTTGAATAAAACAGCCTGAATGTCTTTTAACCAAAAGAAACTGGTTGTAAACTAAGGAGATCTGGTCATATATTAACCATTTAGTTAAAAAGCAAGGGTCTACATTTGAATTTAGTTCTATCAAATGAATATAAGTGTTGTAATTTGCCAATTCCACAAGGCTTGTTTATCATCATGAGCTAGTAAAAGCCTTTTAACCTGGGACCATGACTCAATATCACTCTATTACACAGTCAGTTAAATTTTCTTTCAAAGGGCTGTAACATGTTGGAAGGTAATAAAATATCCATCCTCTATGTATGATGTTATACCTGCTGGCTTCCGAAGTGATACTGTGAACAGTTCCTTCTGAGCATCTGTTGACTCTATCACATCAACATTATCAGCTACCATTTTTTGGTCGCAAATCATATCATTTACATCAACTGGTGCGGCAACTGGGCTCCTCTCGGAGATAGTAGCCTTAACAGTGTCAGTTGCCATCTCAACAGTAACAGGTGATCTCTCTTTTAAATTAGACAACTGTGGTTGACAATCCTCTGTATGCTTGATGCTTGGACTTACAAGTCTTGACTTGTCCAGTCTCTTGCTAGTTTCTGAGCCTCCTGTTTTATCAGTGTTCACTTTAGAGACCTCACTTTTGTCATTCACTCTTCTTCTTGCAGTGCCTTTGTCATTGGAAATTATCACTGACCTGTTCACTGGAGATGCTTCAGTTCTACACTGAGGTATTGCATTCTCTGCATTCAAGTTGTGTTGCTCAGTGGCCAGTTTTCTTAACCTTGCAGCTCGGACATCATTGAAATCAACACCTAGAAAGTGTATAAATCATTTTGTGAAACTGAAAGGTTGGTGTTTACTTAGAAAATGTTCTTAAGACATGGGTGTGGCTGAGGTGGTTCTGATAATCCAGGCAACTAAATGTACAATATAATGGATTATGAGAACATTCTCTCAGTGACACAGGCATACTTGGAAAAAGAATTCTTTTCAAGTTTTCCAGCTAGGAGTCACACCTAAGACCTTCTGTTTACTAGTCCAGATGCAACTGCTCTCTCCTACTGAGCTACATAAGACTCAGAGAAGATAAAGACATTGACCTAGGTTCATACAACAGACACCTTGCATATACATGTACTGCTAGGACTGCAATGTTAGCAAAGTGGCATCGACTGATATCATCTCATTTATTATCACTGCAAAAAAATCCACTTATCTGCACTCAAAGATGCAAGTACGCAGGACTTTTATCACAGGAACTTAAATGTAGCTTAGTGGCATTTAGTTAAACTGTATCTCTCTCGCATCTCCTGTAACTCAGTGGTAGAACAGCTGACTGGACTTGTAACCAGAAGGTCATAGGTTCAACCTTCAATGGAATTCTTGTAACAATGTTATGATGTCATAGGCCCTTCGGGCTTGCGCAGTAGAATGAGATGTATCCTGGATGTAGTTGTTGTTGTATTACAGCTAGTAATGGCGGGCTTTTATGAGCTTCATTAAAACCGTTGTGTTAGCATCGTTTAGTCTCGTTTAGACTACGCTACAATTCTTTTTCCAAGAATGGCTGTCTCACTGACAGAATCATTTATCTTCTTAGACTTATATTTACCAGGCTAAAGATCCACCATCTCATTTATTATCACATTATCTAAACTTTAACATTTTGTTTATGCCTAACGAATGATTTTTTTCTTTTCCAACGGCAATTTTATCGTCTGGCAATTGATAAAGAGATGTTCACTTAAAATGGGTTCTAAATTTAAACCTCAATAGCATGCATGTATAATCAAAACTGTTAGCACTGTTTTACTTACACACTGGTTGGGATTAACATGACAAAAAAAGTGTACACTCATACCTGCATGGTTGCTTGTGCCACTCTTCCGTTGGACTACTGCAGCAAATACTATAATTAAACAGAGGACTCCAACCACTCCCCCAACAACTTGCTTAACATTCCAGTTGAAACCGTTAGCAGTTGATGGCTGTGATCTTGTAGAAGATTTCTGCTCTGTCCTTTTCTTCTTTGTTGAACCTTTTCCTGGCTTTTCTTGTGGTGTGTTTCCACTCTTTTCTCCTTGTAATGCAGCCTAAATGTTAAGAAAAATGAGTACAAACAAGGTCATTGACAATTTCCATTTGCATAGTTTATAAACAGCTGAATCAATTATTGATTTAAACCTCAGACATTACGCTGGTGTGTCTAAATACTACAACATAACAAATAGAAATCCTTTAAGGTGATTTTCTAGCCATGCCTTGTTGTCAAGAATCTGTTTAGTATTTGCAAGTTAGACTCATTTTTCGTTAGTTACAAGTTTTGAAATGAATTCTTTTTTTAGGCCAACTTGAATATAACTTTCTTTTGTCTTATACATACATGTATGTTTGAAATTAGTGTTCACCAGCTCACCCATGCAAGTGTCAGAAGTGTTAGATGAGTGTAAATTATCAGTCACCTCCTAGTTTGATAGCCAAGTATGATTTTCATCTCAATGTGAAACTTAATAGTTTCTTTCCCATTTTGACAAGAAATTCTCTTAACATACTGTAACCAACCAGTTCTATTTTGCATCATCTTCTAATACATTTAACAAATCTGGCATTGAAACAGACCACAAAATTTTCGATGGCCAGTTCGCCATCCACACAATGCACAGAAACATAGATGACTGTATGGTTTGTGATTGGTGTATCTTAAGGGCAAGTGAAAATTATAAATTTAAGTGAGTGCATTTTAAGAGTCACTCATCAGAGTGACAAGACAGTACTCTTACAATTCAATTTCCAACATTGATATACATACCATAGTATCTTGGAAATACTTTGCCATTTCCTCAGCTGATAATTCTCCATCTTCATTCTTATCATATTGCGAGATGATTTTTTCAAACTCCTAATTAAAAATGAATTAAATATTATTATATCAATGGCTAATAATGGATTTATGAAATATTTACCAACCATTTCTATTAACAATTATAATTATTAATTAAATTTTGGTATTATCATTTTTCTTACCGCATCATTCACGTCATGGCTATCATCATCATTATCAAAGATGTGTTGCTGTAAGGGATCTTCAAATTGTTCACTACAAAGATTGAAAAAAAATTACAGTTAAATAATTAAGGTCACCCAATATAGTCAAGCAGTCAGAATATTGTAACTGAAGAGAGCTCCCACTACCCAAAAAAAATATACCAACTTTTTACTGATTATGTTCCAGAAAGAAAAAACGCCATTCTTCTTTACTTTGAAAAGCCTTTCAAATAAGCAGCTATTATTTTTTACTTCGTAGGCACTTTAAAAAATTCATATTTCTTGCAAAAAAAGTCATCAGAAATTCCAAAAGAGGGAGATTCAAATTAGCAGTGTTGGAAATTAGCACTCTCCTGCTTGCCAATGTAAGTGTAAAAAGTGTCAGGCAGGTTCAAATCATTGATCACTCATCCATTTGGTGAGTACAATAATTGTATTATTACCAATACCAGTTATTAATATTATTAACAGAATTTTACTAAATTGTGAGGAATTTATAATAATTATTTCTTTTGTTAAAAAAGGCTTTTTCAGAGCAATTGCCGAAAAAATACTGATTCTCAATAATCTCTCTGTATTGGTATCATTACACTTGATTCGTTGTGCCAAGACTCAAAGGCTGATAATCTTAAGACTGAGCATGTATCGAACTTTACAATAATCTGTACTGTTTATAAGACATTATTTATATTAAAATCATAAATGAACTCTGTCATGTTTCAAATAAATAAAACTATATACCAATTGATGTGTTTTCGTTTCCTATTGAGTGGTTGAGATCAATGTACCCCTGCATGTAACTAGATGCAGCTACATACACTGTAACCCGACAGCACATGACTTGTGTATAATTTAGGGTGTCGTATATCAGCGAGACACCTAATATTCAGCTTGTGCATCTTAACAAGTTGGTACAAACTGTGAAAAAACAAGCTGACGTGATTTGTTATTGTTTCAGAGATCAATATCTCCCTCTGGCCTTCAGAGTTTGAACATTAATTAAAGGCAGGTAAAAACTGGAATCTGCCGATTCACTACAATGAATATTCAAAACTCTCACAGTAAACATATGCAAATAAGCTTCAGCAAAAGCCAAAATCTGTTACAACAGGATCACAAATGTAAGAAATTTAGCAAATAAATTCAAAATCTTGCCAGAAAATTAAAAGAATGTGCATAACCCATTCACCCACACAACAATAAGCAACTAATTGCTTGCCATTGACAAATCATGATATTTTACTCAAGCTCATTTAATAGCTTATTAAGCTTATGAGTAAATCATCTTGGCATCGAACAGGTTAGAATTTTTAAAAACGCTGCTTTTGTACAAGTTCAGCCCAGTAGTTCAGACAAACATTATGATCTGTATCAGTGGAATGGTGATTAAAAATCAGCTGTTACGGCATACTGCCTTGATGAACCTCTCCAAATACCAGACTGAGTCAGCAAAGCGAAAGTGGGAGAAAAATGTACATGCTCGTGTATTTCGCGCTAATACCACGTGGATATCAAGTTACACGCAGGAATCAAAGAAGTGAATCGGAAAAAAGAGAAGCTTTAGTAGTGTTAAGAAACAAGACCTGACGTGGACAACGAAAATATGCATGGGTGAATGAATTGCACAAGAAATCAAGGTCGATAAGCGGAAGTAAAGGTCGATCCATTTGGCCAGAAATCACGTGTGAAAACAACAGATCAGGCACCAAAATTCTTACCTCGTGTGAGCAAAAAACGTCAACTGTATGAATAATCCGAGCCAAAAAATATTGATCCTTGCCATGGCTTAGATGTTGGAGAAAAATATGGCCGCAGACATTGGGCACGAATAAAATAACTGAGTCATCATTACGATAGACCTCAATAGGAATGTTCAAGGTTGTAATGGCCGATTGAACTTGAGCCCACGAGCACAACAATCGAACAAAGCATGCGTCAGTTTGCTTCGCCCCATCTCCCACATGGCCCTTCACATCATGGCGACAGGACGAGAAGTGTTACATCTTTACCGTCAGATGTTGCGAGTTGGAAAATCATTTACCAGTTATAACTATAGGTATGTGTAGCTTAATATTCTGTGATTTAAATATGGACATTTTACCCGTTGTTGTGGGAAAATTACTGGTATGTCAGTCACACCAGTTTGCCCATCGTTTGTGAGTACGATGTGTAGTCGACTGTTAAGCTTAAGCGTACGTAATAATCAGATCATCTTGCCAGTGTGTTTTCTAGAGCCGTAGTATTAGTATTGGATTAAATAAGAATAGTCTCTGATTTGTCATCTATCTTTTTCCTCCTCAAGTTTGAACTGAAACTTCGCGTGCGATTTCAGGAGATAGGGGGATTACCACTGTCGCTTAAGCTTACAGTAAATCAGTACCTAGTGAAAATGAAACGAATCCATAGAACGGGAAAAAGAATCAATTCTTTATTTAGGCATATGTAGTTTACCGAGAGAGGAAATTAGCGTGATCTAGGTCCGCAAAGCATGCAAAGTTAAGGTAAAATTGCATATTTATGTTTTTGTGTCAGTTTACGATGATTGTTTATAAAACGCTATGAATTTTCTTTGCCTTTCGTATTAGTGCATAGGGGTAGTCTATGTAGAAAATGGCTTAATGATACATTAGGCTCTTTGCAGCCTTTGCCTAATTCTCTTTTTTTTGCCACTTCCACTCAGCAAAGTCTATGTTATGTCTTTCTTGTCATTCACAAGAACAAGTGACTAAGAGGTGCCAACAGCTGAAGCCATAGCCATATCAACCAGTCTTTTTCATTCCTTTTAAGAAATATATTTCTTTCTGACAGAACGTCGATTGCAAACATGCAAACCCCTTTTCTCTCCGTGGTTGAGAAAGAGAAATAAAGAAAAAAGGAGTGCTTGCTTGCTCTCAGCATTATCCAAGGGTTGAGTCTGTGCATTAGTGACCAGCTCTAGCAGAGCTTATATATAACTCTGTTTCTGTAACATTGCAACTAGTTGCAAAGATTCCCCTTCCCTCCCTCAGAATAATGTCAAGTTGCCCTAACGATCCGTCAGTATTAACAACCTTTAAAAAATAAAAATATAGGAATTTGCAGTATATGTCGATTGGAGAAGGAGTTTGAAAATGAGTACCTGAGTGACTTTTCAAACCTAACTTTTTTTTCCATTTGACTGGTGAGGGGTCTGTAACAGAAATAAGTGAGGGTTATGGGAGTATAACTGGATTAAAATTCAAAAGTCCTGCTTGTATTTGATCCCCGATTTGATCTCACACCCAAACTGGTATATTGCTGCGGGGGGTTTCAACAAGGGCCGGACACCAGGCAAATTGACCATCTGGGAGGATGATTTTGCCCACCTGGTTTGGCCATTTAGTGGAAAGTTTTCTTAAACAGTATGGCAAATTTCAGTTTAAAAAGTTTTCCCCACCTGCGAAAACCAGTAACCTTTCTGCTGAAAACATCAAATAAGTGAAACTCCTGCTTAATATCTTAATTGACTGTCTGAACACCATAGCTTTCATTACTCCCTAACTCCTTATTCAAGTAAATTTTTTTAGTGATTTCTCTGTTGTAGGATGTATGCCACAAGAAGAATTAAAGATGCTTTCCGAGAAAACAAAGATATTTCAGACCCAGAAAAAATCAAGGCTTTGGTCCAAAAAGCAGAGGGTAGTTTAGAAATCATGAAAAGACAGGTATTTGTTTGTTTATGTTATATGTGCCTTTTTACCTTATTCACTGCACAAGCTGAAAGTTGTCCTTGGATTCTTGTTGTTTTGTAACTAATAGTCGCGGCAATGTAAAATTTATATTTCTCCTTCATCAATAATTATACCCACTTTCAGTGTTACATGCTTAGCAACTATCTTTCGATGTGCCATCTCTCAACTGCTATATAACCTGGCCTACGTCAAAAATGTAAGCACAACTGACTTCTTTACAGTGAAACTCAACTTTTAGTCATGAAAGATAGATTTATTTGACATCAGACTAAGGCTAGGAGTATCAAGAAGTGATTCTGTGAGAGATAAATCAACTGTTTTGAATGATTACATCTTTCGAATAATAACTGAGTAGTAGCAGCCCAATTCTACTGGAAGTCACTACTGAGAACCGATCAACTACGCGAAAATCATTTGAATTATCCTGTAAATCGGGAAATATGCAAAGTCTACTATTTTCGTCATTCATTTGAGGTCAGTAATTGTCATTTATTTGTGGTTTTGTTCTCCTAATAACTGGAAAAATGGCCACTTTCACAGTTAACTGTCTTTCAACAGTTTACATAGCATGTCGAAAGATGGTTGAAAGATGTCACCTATGTATGTAACTCTTAAAACAGGTGTACAGTAAATTGTTAAAAAAAAGTTTTTCTAATGTGATTGCCCCAGCGAGGGTAACTATAAAAAGTGTTGTCCTTTTGTTTTTGTTTGTTTGTTCTTTTTTTGTTGTTTTTTTTCCTTTTATTCGCTAGCTTTACAAAAAAAATTTTGTTCTTAGCGACTTGACTCTTTGACAGCCTGAACAGAAGTCATCTTCAAAGTCTCTTGCCTCTGAACAAGACTCAGTGGCATTAGTCACTAACAGCAGGACTATCCACACCCTGAAAATCTCACTAGAAGAATTTCTGGTACTTCTGGGTTTAAACTATTTACTAATTATTAGTAAATACAGTTGAACCTATGCAAATGACCACCTCCCTACAACAGCATTGCATTCACTCTTATTTTGACCTCTTTACAACAAACACCTCTCCACAACTGCAATGGCCACTAGAGAATGTCCCAAGTGCTAAAATAACCTTTTGACAACAGTAGGTTAACCACTGCTTACTGCTACACGGTCCTCATTACGTGATGGTTATGCATCACCATTATGTTACATAGAAGTCAACTTTCTATTCTTAGACCTAAACATAATAGTGCACGCATTTCGTTCACAGGTTTCTTTAGGACAAATGTACAGACATGAAAAGCTGGTTATCGAAAAGACAAGATGATACACAGCCTTGAAATACATTGCAATACCAGATGCTCATGAGCAAAGAAGAGCTTCTTCACCGCCTACTTGCATCCAGTGGAATGTTATGTGACGTGTACAGTACAAACTGACCGAACTTCTGCGTCAAAATATTTTTGTTTTTTTGTCATGCTGCTGGTGTGAATTTTTCAGCTTGACAGTAGTCTGTTTTCACTGTAATCCCAGTTCATTGAGCCAAAGAACATTGTAAACTATTGCTTGGCATTTTTCTGCCCATAATTTCTATTTTCCTGCCCTGTAAATCCACTAATGGGTTTCCAAAGATCAGAGTCATGCCAAGTTATTCTTTATTTGATTTTTGGTTGAGCAGAGAGTAGATATGAGTACAATGTGAGACTGGACAAGATGTAATGGCATGCCCACGTCACTTGTTTTTAAACTCTTGTTAAAAAAACAATCAAATAATAACTTGATATTTATTTGTCCTAGAAGAGTTAAAAGGGTCATGGGCTGCTTTTCACCCATGAGTGATAATTTTGATATATCTCAAAGCAAGAGCAGTGTTTTGGACAAGTTTTTGAAAAGTTTCAACCATTTCCCAAATATTTTTGAGGTTTTTCTAAGGAGCATAATCTTGAGCACAAGCACCTTAAGGTGGACGGTAAAAAGTTGGTAATTAGTGCCTTTTGTTAGGAAGATTTCCTAAAGGTGCTAGTTAACAGCACCTTACTGTGTCTGTATGTTTCTCATACTTATGCGCTAGTTGTTCGCAGTCTAACATAGTGGTAAATTTGAATAGCAATACATTGGCGATACAAAAGCGCTAGGCCCAGGTTTACTGGCTGACTAGTTCCTAGCTGTCCACACGAAGAACTAATTTATTAATGAACGCCTGTTTCGCGTCGGTGACCTTTAAAAGGAAGAACTGTTTATGAACGAAGAAGTGCGCACACTTTATGTTGTTTTGATACTACTTGCCTGTTTGTCAGGCTTTCGTTTTTACATGCGAAGCTCAAAGTTAGATAAAAGGAAGACTTGGTTTGACATCTTTAGAAAAAGGAAAAATACATGTTAACATTTCGTGACGCTAATACAAAGTCAGCAACGACAGTGGGACTGCGGGACTGCGGTAGCAGTTACAGTCGATGACTTCGGTACCGTGTGATCAGCCACTGAATCTCATTATGGCCACCTCGGGACTGCGGTAGCAGCATTAGAAGACACAAAAAAGTGGCCGGGTATTCTGAAGTTTAGTCCAAAGGGTTTCCCATGTCTGAAGTTGTATGAAGACGATCGGAGTTAGCTAACTTACTGTTTTTCAAATTCTGCTTCATTTGTCGAATCCAGTTGTATCGCATGTGGTTGAAATCCTTGTTAAACACGATTATCAGAACTGAAGTAGTATATACAGCAACTGGCAGAATTATCACGCACACAGAGCTATGTCAAAGACTGTGTTTTCTATCTATAAGCAAGGCCACTTTCGGGAAATTTGAGAAATTGACCTTTTTAGCTTAGGTGGGTTGTTTTCCCATTACAGACCAGGTGATAATCTTTACAGAAGTGTTCTTCGATGCACTTAAAAAAATACTCATTGGTAAACGCGCTACCTTTTTGAAACTTTGAGAGCAAGAATTCTCAAGAGTACGAAATGGGCAACAAATCACCCAAGCTAATAAGGTCTTTAGTCCGACATTTGCGCAAGGATCAGAGTTACAAAAAAAAAAAAAATTCAACTGCACCATGCTTATGCGACAACTTTCGTAGTACTTGTGAGTGTCCGCGTGATATACTTTAAGTCAATAATAAAACCGGGAAGTCCATACAAGTACCGTATTTACTCGATTGAGAAGCGCCGCCCCCCGATTTGGCGCCGTATATGAGCAAATATATGAAAAAGCACCACACTCGAATAAGCGCCGCATACATTCTCAGTAATAGCGACTTTAAGATACTCCAGGCCAGGGCGAGGGACTTCTTCGGCTACTTTGGCGGTGAGATACTGGGCTGACTACGACGTTTTTCCCGCCAGATCTTTCTCCTCCGCAGAGGCTCCCTATGGGAAATTGAATTGAATATTGAAAATGGAAGGTGCGTGGAGGACGATGGGAAGAGTGACCCGCGCGCTTTTCCCTCTCCCCAGCCTCCGAACTAGCAGCCTACGGTCAAAGCAGAACGAAAGAGGCCTCTGTGGAGGAGAGAGCGCGAAACTCAACAAGTACGGTACAACTCAATCTAAACCAGCCTCCGAAACTTATCCACCTGAATTACAGTGTGTTTCAGTTAGAAGTGGTTATATTTCATTGTTGTATTTGCTTGTTATCATTTACATGTACACCTTTTCTAATTTTTATCTGCCCTCAAATAACCGCCGCGCCCGTTTAAGCGCTGCAACGCGGCGGAAACACTAACAATTCAAAGAGCGCCGCGGGAACTCCGTAAATGGCAAGGATAATATTGGGCACCGCTATCAAGAAGCTATAAAGAATTTAAGTTCATAAATCGCAGGTGGATTGAGCGATAGTAAAGTCATAAAATGCATGGTTCATAAGGTACCGCTTCAGTCTGGCTTTATAACAAACTTAGCGTCCCAGGCACCATGCTGTAGAATGCCGGCTGTCAACCTCGTTTACGGGGTTCCTCTTTTTTCTGAGGGGCGAGAAGGATAACTAATAGAGATTGCCCTGGGAACGAGTTCGGCCGGGATATGATCATGAAAATGCGTAATTAAATTCGAAAGCGTTCGTGACAATACCGATTGGTATTATGGTATTAATAGTTCGGCGTTGCTTGATTGAGGTTGAGGTTCACGGTGTTTCAGCAAGAAGGACCTAAGAAAAAAGCATGAATACACGTGTTAGCGTTGACTCCTTTCTTTGTTTCCTTCTATTCGACACGCCAGAAAAAAAAGACACCTTGAGTTTCAAACCCATAACACCTTGTGATATTGTTACGCTTTGGTAGGACCACATTTCTCGAAACAGTTGTATGCCTATCTTCGTTGAGATTTTTTGTTGCGTTTTAAACTGGGGGAGTTTATATCTGAGGAGAGACTAATTGCTGGTTTTCAGTGTCATGCAATTCAAAATAGATCAAAATAAAAATCAAAACCGGTCAACAGATAAAGTCCAGAATCTGGGAAATGAAAGAAAGTAAATATGCAAAGACTCTCGCCAAAATTGTGGTCACAACAATTTTTCTTATGCGAGATATGCGGAGAAATTTTTTACCCAAATTTATAGAGATTTGTATGGAGACGCCATGCTGCTGCCCATCCGTATGGGCACCAACATGGCGGCCGGAAACCAACAGAAACATCTGTCACTGAGTTTTGCTACAAAA